TGTCCAAATGAATCAACTCAGAATGAAAAAAAGGACACCCAGAAGCTTCCCAGGGACGCCTCTCTCATATGAAGATGAGGCTTATTTGGGAACCTATTTGAGTTACTCTTCTGGGTACAACCTTGCTTTGGTTCAATCATCTAACCCTGCCTGATATGGCTGATCTCTCAAAAGAAAGGAAATCCATCACACAACCTTCCAGAAGCATCCCTATGTTGGGGAAGCCTCTCACTGTGGTCCTTCTCTGCAGTGATGGCGGAGGGAAGCACACATGAGTATTTTGGGTCTCAGTTTCTGAACTGAGACCTGGGCTGTCCAACACAAGAGCCACTAACCCTACAACCCCGCCTGGGAGGATTAGTGTGCAATGGAGTCAGTGTGCTTTTATTTCACTGTAATTAACTTAGGCTTAGATTTAAAAAATGGGCATTAGATTCTGTTACTTGGAAAAGTCTGAAAATGTTTGGAAAACAGTGGCACATGGATCTCTTTTCTGATCGTAAGTTAATGAAATCTGCCAATAAGTATTCCTAATGAAAATGATTCTGAATTGGGATATGCTGCCAGTGTACAGTACAAACCGCCATTTGAAGACTTGTTTTATGAACAAAGAACAAGAGTGATGTCTCATTGATAATTTCACACTGACTACATTTTGAGATTTGAGTATCTTAAAGTGACATAATTAACCAAAATATACTATTAAAAATATCAGAGGCACCTTCTGATTTCACTGGACAGTATCAGACCAGAGTATTTGACTTTCCAGACAACAACCATTTGGTTTGTTTGTAGCTTCTGTGGTGAGTGTACCCTGGAGAGCATGGGAAGTCAAGGGAGATTTTTTTTTTCCCTACCAAGAAAATAGTTTTTTGGGCATACAAAGGTGAAACTGCTCTCTTCCTTAGGCACCTCCCTGCAGACCCTCTTCTCAAGCCCTCTAAAGACATCTCTCCATATTGAAGTTTGCAGGCTGATTTGCTCTATCCTGGACCAACCCAGGCTGCTGTTGGAATTTTCTTCTTCAATTTTGTCATCACACCCGTGAGCAGCTAATGCCTATGTCCATGTGCGGACAGAAATGGAAGCATGGTTGAAAGAGAAACATTAAACTCCCTTAAAAAGACAGATCTTATTTCTATAGCATCTCTGTCAATACCTTACAAATTTTACATGTACGGCCCTCCTCATTCCAGAAGACACAAGGATTCCCATTTCCTGCTTCTTCAGCCTCCAGTATCATCTTGTGCATCTCGCTTGCCTTCCTGTCTAGTGAGTGAGTTCTTTGAAGCGGGCATTGTGTGAGGCACAAAGTGAGTAAAGCACACCCACCCTGCTCATAGGGAGGTCACAGCCTAGGAGAAGCGTGTGGAGAATCAATACAGCATAGTAAGGAGGAACGAGACTTTGACCATGGTAAGAGTAAGGAATCGCCAAGGGACTGACCCTGGGGTACACTCCTGACCCAAGGCACATGAAAGAGATGGCATCCCAAAAAAAGAGTATGATATGAGCATGTGCATAGGAGTACAAGCCCTCAGGGGTGCTGGAAAGTGTCTGGGAGTCTTCATTAAGAAATCAGAGACAGGAGGGAAGTGAAGATAGGAGGTGGCCAAGATCCGGCCCAAGTTCCCATGTATCAGATACCATGAAGAGGAAGTACAGAGAACCTTCCAAACTACCAACAGGATGCAGACGGGTCTTTCTTTGTCCAGTTTGGCTGACATCACTACCCCACTATCCCAGGGGCCATGCAGAATCTGGGGCCTCCAGAGCACTCTGGAAGAATCAGCATCAGCCAGCTGCATGGTGCCTTTTGTAATAAACCCACACGGGATTGATTTCCGACCTCATGGACAGGCAGGGAAATAATAACATGCAAAGCAGAGGCAATTTGACAGGGAAATTATATATATATATATATATATATATATATATATTCATATTCTTTCCTTACTTGGAAATAAAAAGCATATGTTTAAAATGTGTGAGGGTAGAGATAGCCTGCCCCTGATCAGAGTCCTCCATTCTCCTTTCCCGGTGACTAATGACCTAACCAGATGAGGAAGGCTTCAGCTACTTGTTAGAATTGCAGTGATGGAGATTTGATACCTAAATCTTGCAACTTTAAGTTGTTTTGTAGCATTTCTCACAACAGATCATTATGTGGAAAGCTAATGCACTGTGAGAATGCCCATTAGGGTCCGTGGTGGAGGAAGGAGGCTTCGGCTCCAGCAAGCCCGAACTACTTCCCCTCTGTTTCTCTAAGTACAATATGTCTGTGTAGGAGGGTGAGCGCATGAGAACTTCAGGTGGGGCAGGGCATACCAGTGCTCTGAAGTTGCTAGTTTTAGCTTCATTAATTTTCTGCCTTCAAACAATGAGTTTGAAAAACCAGCCTTTATATATTACGGTTAATAAAGCCCTTGTGTGGGATTTATACACACAAGAATCGCGAATGCTCTCCGTCTGAGGGACTCACGGTGCTGCAAAGCTCAGCGGTTACTTGGTCCCTGACCCTGCAAGGCTGCCCTTGTCATGACAGCATCGCACTGGCTCCAACACTACATTGGGCAACAACCCGAGTCTCCATTTGGAAGGACCTTCTGCTCCTCCTTCCTGTCACCTCACCCAGCAGGTGAAAGGCGAGCCCTGGGTCCCCTCAACAGCCAGGCAGCCGAGGGTCAAGGGTCCAACGTCTGTGGTTGGATGACAATAAAGAAGGCTTTCTTCTTTATTCTCACTGACCGTTACTTTAATACCACGAGCTCCTGTAGGCTCTAGTAGCAGGCTTTGGGTTCAACTCTGTATTGTGGAATTTGAACCATTACCACAAGAAAGCTCTATGGGTCTTGTTAAGAAAATAGAAAGAACTTCTGCCAATTGCTAAGAAATAAATTCCTCCTTTCCTGCTGCTTGGAGCACAACATAATGAGGGCTCCCAACCTCTCTTTGCAGTAATAAAATGAACTCTACAGGCTTTTCCTTTTGATGTATTCCTGTTTAGAAGTTTAGAGTTGATGCCTTTTCATCCTTAATTTATCTCCCCTTGTAAATATTTCTGTACCGTTTCCAATATCTTAAGTATACACGTTCTTAAAAAATAATTCACTCCTCCTATTTCAATTGTATCATTTTTTGTTATGGGTCACATCTGAGGCTAAATAAACATATCTCTAGCTACAGTTCTGCAAATGCCTCTGGCAGCAAATTAACTCAAACAAATGTTTTGGCTAGGTAGTGAGGTTGGTTTTTAATGATCTTCCTGCTCCGTCTGAAGGCCCAAGGACAGGAGTCCTGAAGGCTTTTCTAGCAGGCCGTTTTCTGCCAAGTTAATATTCAGGTCTTAATTTGGTGGTTAGTTTGTTTAAAGTTTCACCACCAGAGGGTGCTACTTGTTTGCGTCTAAAATGTGATTGTTTTATCACACGGCCCAAAGGGCTCCACTATCAAAGACCTGTGCTCACAACAGTATCACTGAGGAACGCTCTCCACAAGGTCGTCAGGCCCGAGCTCCATGGCACAAGATTTCATTTTGTCTTTGACGTTGTGTGGAAAATCCAAATTGAAAATCCCTGTGGCTACCACAGACCCAAGCTGCACTGGTTTATGTCTGTTACAGACCAAGTCTGAAAGGCGAACGCATTTAATCATCTAGGATTCCGCTCAATATTTTACTGCACAGGAAGAATGAACTCAAAATCCCAGCATCCTCCGTATCACGTCGGAAATGAACGACGTAAAGAGGCCATTTGCTTTGCTGTGCCAGCAGAGTCCCTTTTACGTCACCCAACTCGCCCCGTTTTCTGAACGCGCATCTCTCCGACTTCCATACAATTTGACTCCAGTGTGATATGCTTGCTTGTCCGCTTGTCTCTCACGATGTTGAGAGCTCTCCCCCGGCTCCTTGTCTGCACTCTGGCAGCAAGCAGCCTCGCCCGCCCTCCCAGCACATTCCGATTTATCAGCTTTACCTCTTCCTACTGTTGTCTGCGTTAGTTCCTTGTCCTGTTACTGTGATAAAAAAAAAATGCCTGACAAGAAGCCACATAAGGAAGGGTTTATTTTGGATTGCAGTTGGGGAACACAGTCCACCGTGGCAGAGGGGTTATGGGAGCTGAGGCTGGAGGCAGCTGGTGCAAGCAAAGGCCTGAGAATGCTGTTGCTTGGGTCCCTTTTTCCTTTTAATTCGGCTCAAGACCTCAATCCACGTAACAGTACCATTGGCATATACAGTAGTTCTTCCTACCTCAACGAAGCAAATCTAGACAATCCCTCAACTATACCCAGGGGCTTATAGTAATCCCAGCAAATTGAAAGTCATGACTAACCATCACATTGACTTTTAATAATTCTCTGAGATTTACATACAAAATTTCCACTTGATATTTTCTGGTATGCGAAAAAGATAATATACAGTTCCATTCCCACACATCTACATAGAAAGTGCATGGAGAGTATTGTTAACCTGTGGTTTATTTTTTTTATGTGAACCACTCAGAAAATCAGGGCCCAGCAAAGGTCTTATTTAAAGCATTAGGTCCAAAACTTTAGGCTATCTAGCCAGGTAAGGTCTCCTTCATGCCTGTTCAACCAGGCCATTAAAGGGAGAAAATTAGCCTTTGGTGTAAATGATTGGAAACATCTGTGTCCCAGTTTAGTGAATTTATTTTTTAAGTTTTTTATTTTTATTCATATGTTTGTGTGTGTGTACCATGAACATATCTATTCATTACTTTGATGGTTTCCACCCTCCGCATGTAAGCACAGAAACTAACACAAAGGTTATACTTAAAAGTTCGTGGGTCTCCAGGAGGAATAGGAAAGAATTCCCTCAACAGAACCTTCTAGATTGGAGCCAAAGACATCTTTGGCTTTCAAGATGTCACTCTGTTTATATCCCATGAAGACCTCGGGGATATGAGGTCAGCAGAAAAAGTCTTATTCCCTGGCAGTTTCTGCAGACAAAGCATGTAAAGAAAACAAAAGCCGCCGTTTACCTTCAGACTGGTGAGTGGCGAGGGGAGTCTGTGTCTCCTTGGAGTAGGACACTACTTCCCTAGGCAGGAAATCCACCTGGGTCACCTTTGACACGCCCAGCTTGTGCAGTCTTCTCCTGTAAATAGCAAAGGGCAAACACTTAGGGAGGCAATGTGTCTATTTCAAAAGACCTGTCAGTTCTGTAAGCACAAGAATAAACAAAGCCAGACGCTCTCAGAGTCTCAGTACAGTGTCAGGCTCATGGCTCTGGGGTGGGAATATGGCCCTAACTGGATATGTGATGTCATTTAATTCTCTCACAATGGCCCTTCCATTTTCCTATCTCTAAACTGAAGTCTTGCTCCAATTCAGGTGAGATGGCTACTCTCTGAGTATCCATGATGATTCCTGGCTAGCATGCCTTGAAAGTTTTTCTTTGCAATGTAAATTCTAATTTCTTGGGGTTGGAGAATTGAAGAATTTTCAAGTTTGAATAAAAGGGATTCCTCATTGGAGTAACACACTGTTTATGAAGGTAGCAATGGCGAGAATCCTATTCCAAGGCAGAATGCAACAGGTCTCATTTATCCAGAAGGAGAGTGATCAAATGATGTGTTTGTGAATGAATCAATGAATGAATGTGTTTGTAAGGCACACTAAGATAGCACAAATGAATGAAAAGAACAGAGGGCATAGACTAATAGAATCTCGGCTTAGTAGTCCCAAACTAACTGTGACCACATAAGTAATCATATTTGAATATTTATGTAACAATTCAAATGTTTCCAGATGTCTCTACACCCACTATGTCATCTGTCTTCAAGACATGTCTGTGAAGAGTGGGCTGTCATCATATATGTTTTATACAAGAAAAAATTCAGCTCTGGTGCTCAAAAGCATACAATTTATAACTGGTGGAACCCACCTTAAAACACTATTGACCTCATAAATATGCTCAATAATATGCTATTATTGACCTGAGTTCTGATCCAATGCTTCCCTAAGCCAAATTCCTACCTACGGTTCTTAACGGTGAACATGAGACACTCCAAAAATCTGGTCCTCCAGATGGCTATTCAGAAAACAGCCAGCCAGAGAGGCAGCATTGTCCACGGGAAAGCACAGCACAGCCCCGAACTCACTATCTGAATGTGTATATCCAGCCCTCCGTGTCTCAGCTTCCTCATCCGGGAACAGAGATAATGGTACCTCTGTCATGATTCTTGTTGATAATACATAGGCACCATTTATATGCTATGCATAAACCACATATATTTTATATGCATGAATGCATACAATTTTCAGATATATACACCTTAGAATGGTTTCTTGAGCTTTATTTTTAAGATACAGATTTATCAGTGGTATTGTGATATTCTAGTATACTTCAAATTTTCCAGATGGACACACACGTGAGAGGACAAAGGCATAATCGTCACTTCATCAAACTTCCAACTCCTCTCTAGCTAAGAAAAAGAAGAACACAGTCCAGGGGTGTTACTGTGCTTCTACAGGCAAATGCCATGGCTTCGTATTCACGTTATTATCACTAATGAAAACATGACAGAGAGTGTGCACGAAGGCTAGAAATGTCCACGAACATTTCTCAAACATCCCAAAGAAAACAAAAATTCTTTAGGTTTCTAAAACAGTTACTGTGGGATTTAAGTGTACAATCAGCAGATATAAGGAAACAGACAGACAAATACTGCTGTAGAGAGCAAGCCTAGTTGAGTATATCTGCAGTCCAATACAAGAAACCCAAACACAGTCCTTGGTACACGTAGGCCTGGTTCACATGGACCCAAAACTTGGAGCTCTGAATAACAAGAATGCACCAAAGGCCCTGGCTGGTTCTCCCAACCCCACCCCAGCTCTACATATACCCCTTAAAGCAAATTTAAGGAGCGCACACACACAATTGACTAGCAACAAAAAATTATAACACCAGGTAAAAGGATTAGAGTCTGAAAGGAAGAAACTTAAGGTGTTATTTTAAAAGCTTCTTGGGTTAGAGATGAATATTTTCCTTCCTCAAGTGCTTCTCCTTCATATGCACGAAGGGGAAAACATGAAAGGACTCAATATGTCTGCTTGCAGCAAGGCTCACTGTTCTGCTTACCCGCCCAACACATGTTCCTGAGGCCTGGTAGCATAGTTATTGCCACAAGGCCCGGGAATGCACCACTACCGTTTCAGGTCAACCTTCCGCCAACGTGTGTGAGGCCCAGGGATCTCCGGGCACTGTGAAGTGACCACTACACCTGCAGGCGGTGTTTTGGGCATCTTGCTAACAGGACATCTACTTTAGACCTATCTCGTTGGGTTATGGGAAACAGGCTGTAGGCACGTGAAAGCTAGTACAGAAACTGATAATCCTTTATGACCTATTCAAACCACTCAGGCAATATAACTTGAGAAACTCCAAAGGAAAATGGGTCCATATCCCTGCTTTGTCATTTACCAGCCTGAATAGGTGAAAGATCTTTTGGCAAATCTTTTCAAAGCCTTTTTTTTTTTT